GTGAGGCAGAGTGCTCTACATCAGGGCCCATTTAAGAGCCTCTCCCAGCCATCCACACACCAGGAATAAACATGATGAGCCAAATTCCTCACACACCCAGAGCTAGTCCTACTAAAAAAGGCATTAGAGCCTGGCACTGGTAGCTCGTGCCTATAATCCTAGCTACTCAGGAGGTTGAGATCTGACAATATGTCTCAAAATCAGCCTGAGCAGACAAATCAGCAAGACCGGTCTCTCCAAACATAGCAAGGCTCAAGTGGTAGAGCCCCCAGCCATGGGGTGAAAGTGGGGCAGAGCTCAGTGAGAGTTTGAGGCCCTGAGTCTAATCCTCAGGTCTGGGGGAGGGGAGATGCACAAGGTACTCACATTGTATATTTCCTACCTCCCCCGTAATGCCTCTTTTCTCTCAGACTTTCACATATTTGTCCCTGTATAGGAAGTGTCTCAAGCCAACCAAGACACCATAAAGCAGGAAATTAAGTTCGGCAGGTCAAGCCACAGGCCTCAGGTGGCCTGCCTATCTGCCTCTAACACCTAAATAAGCCGCCAGCCTTTAGACAGATCTTGCCATCTCCCTTTTGGCTTTGTTGCACCTCTTGTGTCCTTAAGGGATAACTTAGGTCCCACAAATCTCCACGCTTAGAACTCCTCCAATGACAATAACAAATTTACACAGCCCTGGGTAGGAGGGATCCTCCTGTGCCTTCTTGTGATTAGTCTTCACTTCCTTTCCTTAAGCCCAGCAATATTGGAGAAACCACTTTCCAATGTATTTTTTTCCCTGCCAACAACAAAGAAAGTCCCAACCACTGCATTTCTGCAATCATGAAATCAAGCCTCTCAATTAAGGAGTCGGCAACAACTGCTCACCTCAGAAATCACTGCAGGATCTGAGAAGCAAATGAGAGCTTGTAGCTCAGCTATAAGAGGAAAGGCAGAACAGACAAGCTGCCTTGCCCAGCCTCCCATCCTCACCAGCCCCCCTCCCTCCCCACCCCTGCCCAGCCAACACTGACCAAGAACAATTAGTGCTGCTGTGTCCCAATGCATTTCCCAGCTACATCTCAACTGAGATGGCTCTCCTTGTAATATTAATTAAAAACAGATTTTTTTGGCAAACCCCTGAAGAATGGCTTCTGTGGCAGGCTTCTTTATTAAGTCTGTGAGAAGGCAAAATGCATTAAGATATTGTGACACGGGGACTTTTAGCAGGGATGAGGAAGGTTCAGGCAATCCAGCCAAAAGCTGCTTGAAAAATCTGTTTGGAAGCCACAATTAGATGCTCCAGTGAGTGAAATACAATTAATCTGATCAGATCTGCCACTATTTTGCACATTAGGAGTAAATATTTTAGAGCACAGTCCAGCTGTATTGGTGATGGGAAGGAAATCTCGCCTGGGGGAATTGATGTGCTGTGTGGTACCTTCTAGCTTGTTTCTGGAATGGTGGTCTGACAAGAATCTGGAAAAACAATATCTCCCTAGTTCCCTTCAGCAAGGTGCAGTATTGGGCACATTCACTGGAAGCTACCTGGCAACTCATTTCAGGCAGCCACACTGCAGGGGACAGCAGTCTGTAAATTGCCACTGCTGTGGGTGAGCTGCTGGGAAGCAAAGGTGCCAGTCTAAAGGAAGATGCCACATTCCTGGCACTAAGAATGGGACCCCAATCCCCCCCTCCCCCCCCAGCAAGGGTCCAAGAAGGAGAGTGCATGAGGAAATACACTGTGCTTTCACAACTTTCCACTCTCCGGGGCCATTTGCCAAGTCACTGAGCAAGCAAGGAGGCATCTTCCTCCATTTGAAGGAAAAGGACAGAATAATGTGTTTTTCTGTTTCCCTGTAAGCCACGGGGACTGAGCTCCCCTGGGTGTTTGTGAAACACTCTCTAGCCCATTAATCACCAGGATCCTAGCTGGGGACACACGTGGTGCACAAAGAACAACAGCAGATCTCTTCCAGGAGAGGTTCCAAGGCTGAGTCTGCCCACATTCTACCACAAGGAACACCTAGCAGGCAATTGGTCAGAGGTGAGACCCAGACCCCCTGCCCTGCTTGCTTCTTTCTGCCTCAGACCTGAAAGGCATCTCCTCTACTGCCTTCTAAATATCCCATCCCAGTCATGAGACCAAAGCAAGCCCTAATTCAAGACTCAAACTAGGATCTCTTCCTGCCCCTCCCTGCCCCTTGGTACACACTGGACCAATGGGATAAAGAAGGATGTCCAGCACCATTTCCCTCAGTGTAAACTCTGCCAGGGGGGAGTTCAGTATTCTGTTCTAGGGGGACTAAAATCTCCTCCTGCAAGGGAATTTTTATCTAGTAATGAAACCCACCAAAAGCACCCAGGAAAAAAACAAAAAGAAATTCCAATTGGAGCTAAAATGGAAACTGCTACTTTTTTTTGGGGGGGGGGGAAGAGGGGGAATGCATTTAACATATCAGAAGCCAGGGGAAAAAATGTGGAATCCTCTTTCCAAAGCATGGTATTAGTAATATTCTCCCTCCAGGAAAAGGAACCTTCCTGGAATATCAAATATCATCCTCATTTCTCCTCACATTCTTTTCCTGAAGTCAAGAAAGGAGTAGGGGAGAAAAGCCACACCCCTGGAATGCTACTTTAGAGGCTGCTTCCCATACTCCAAAGAGTCTCTCATTCTTCTGGAGCACCTCTATCTTGATTCCTACTTCTTTAACCCTGTTTTACTAAAATAAATCCTTGAAGAAGAAGAAGGAAAAAAACTCTTCTGGTGCTGCCTACCAAATCTGGACAAGCATAAGACACATCTTAGGAGCTGACAAAACAGTTGTGTGGGCTGCAGAGGGGATAGAATATGCCCTGCGTTCTGAGCTCACCTGAGTTCTGAGCTCACCTGGACTGCCTGAACCTTGCTGAGGTGGTGAGACTCAGCAGAGGTAGATGAATGGCTCCGATTTCATCACCCAACTAGTCTCCTGCTAAGACCCTGTGGTCCAGTATCACTAAAGGGCCATTTCTCCAGGGTGGAGAGTTGAAGCCAGGCTTCCCCTTTAGCCATGAGCAGGAAGCACTTCCCAAAGTCCCATCTCCAAGGACTTTGTCAACACTTAAAAGCAGAAACCTACAAAAACTCTTCAGGAAGAATGCATTGACATTGTCCCAAATGGGACAGCAACAAAAGCACAGATAGGTGAGGACACCACCTCCTCTCCTCCCAATTCACCCATTATCACACAGCCCATCAATCCTCACCTGGTAATATGGAGAGCACACACGGGCTTCCTACTTATCAAACTGGAATGAAGTTGCTGTCAACGCATCATAGCTTCTCTCTCACTCTCGCTCCACACACTCATACACGTCCAATCTGCTGGGGACTTGGAAGTCTTCAGGCACCCAGCTCCACAAAGGTGCGCCTTGCCCAGCGCCCACAATCAGATGTGCTCACGGCCCCAAGCTCTGGGGTCTCTGGGCTTCCCAGGATCTAGACTACACTTCTTCCACCCCAGCATCTGGTACCCTGGACCCGGCTGTTTTCTGTATCACTTAGCATCAGGGAAATCTCCACTGCAAGGCGTTTGTGTGTGTGTGTGTGTGTGTGTGTGTGTGTGTGTGGCTTCCCAGGGCACTCACTACCCATCCCGGTGACCTCGGAGGCTCTGCTAAAATGAGATGGACATTTCCCGGGGAAATCTTCTCAAAAATCACAAACAGAAACACCAAGAGAGGTGTTTTCCCATCCAGTGAGTCCCCAAAGCTTCTTGCACAGCCATCCAGAAGTCCATCAGACCCTGCCAGGAGGAGCAGCCTTTGCACTGCCCAATAATACCAGGCTCTCATCTGAACCAGAGAGCCAGACAAGAGGGAAGGATTTTGCCAGGCTGGCTGAAATAGGGACCGCGGGAGGGAAAGGGCATGCGGGAGATGATGGGAGCCGGTCCCCAGCCTTTCCCTGACCCAGTCACACAGCACTGGGAGGCGGCGATGTGGGGACAGCCCCTGGGGCACGCGCTGCGGGCTGCCTGCTGCAGCTGCCCGGCTGGGCCGGCCAAGCTCAGTGCCCGACGCCGCGCCAGCGCCCGAGCTCAGCGAGTGGGCTCGATCGCGCCACCTCTTGGTATATCGTCGTGGGGGGGGGCGCGTGGCGGGGGGAACCCTGGTAGCGGGTAGGCGGAAAGCAGAGGGACTCAACTCTACTGGGGACCGGGTAACAGGACGCCCGTGGCCAAAGCCAGAGTTTTGGGCTACAGACTTATTCGGGATCACAAAAGCAGACAAGAATGGGAATGGTGCGGGAAGGGAGAGGGTGGGCCCTGAACTTCGCTTGAGGCTTTCAACTTTTTTAAGGTCTCCTCTAATAGCCTCCTGGGGACACTAGGGCCAAGCTTGGGTTGGTTGGAACCCAGTCCCAAGTTCAGGTTGGCCGGCGGATCAGGCGCCTGAAGAGAGGACCAGAGACCCCAAGGCAAACAGGAGGAGGAATCCGGGAGTCCAAGTGGCCTCGATCTCTAGAGGAGGCGGAGAGGGGGGCGGGGGGGTGTCCCTTTTGGAACGGGTGGGGACGGGGTTGCTCAGGCAGTCGCTGGAATCTGCTCCTGGGCTCCACAGCAGCCCGTTACCCCCTACCCTGACACACACATACACACACTCACCCCCCAACAGGAAAACCCACTCTCACTGAAAGAGACCACAGACCTCTCCCCAGCTCATCTTGAAGACAACCGGCTCCCTCCTCCCCCGACCCCTCGGGGCGCCCCCAATCCTAGGGTCCTGGTAAACGAACTCAAATATCCTCCCCTAAACTCCAGTAACCTGTTGGGGGTGTGTGTGTGGGTGGGTGCCGGACAAAGTGGAGGAGCTCCCGATCTCCGCCGAGACCCCCGCTCTCCCCAGCCCTGACCCGTCCCGGCTCACCACCACCCCTTCCCCGACCTCACGCCGCACCCCCCCCCATCCCGCCCCGACCCCGTCCCCGAGGGCCACGGGGACCCGGACGGAGCCCGGCGCCGGGCGGTACTCACGCTGCTGTTGTGTCCCGACCAGTGCACCATGGCTTGGTTGTGAGCCGAATCTCCCGTTAGGGCGAATGAGGTGCTGGGGAGCCGGAGCTCCTCGGGGGCCGGTCCCCCGGTCCGCGCCGCCTTCGCCTCCTCCCGGGAACCCTTGGCCGGAGGACGGCTGGCTTTGGAACTGTCGGCGGCGGGCGCCGTGGCCCGGGCGTCCCCGCGCTCCAGCGCGCTGAGGGGCTGCGCCTC